CGAGTCTTAAATTCTTTTTCTGTAAGTCCAATGTAGGTTTCAGTTGTGTTATTGTCTAAACGTTTAACAGTTGCTTGGTATATGTTACATATATATATATATATATGTGTAGTGATGTTGAGAAAAAATCACAAAACTACAGATTCATCCCGACAAGCCTGTTTCGTGATTGCTCACTTATTTAGCTCGGCTGGGCTTGCCGTGCCTAATGCATTAAGTTCGACACGGCACGTTGTCAGTTCAAACGGCGACCTTCTCATGTGCCGAACTTAAAAAAGCGACGTGAAACGAGTAGCGTTATCACCCTATTCGTGCGTACATATCCTATTCAATCCATGATCTAAACCCGAGTAAACTGGCGCGAATTTTATGGCGCGAATTTGTAAACAATATGGCTTCTTCGTCGAGACAAAGCCATTCGATTGTTGACTGTAATTTTTGCCAAAAAGAAACGAAATACAAGTGTATAACTTGCCATAGTCCAGTTTGTAACCGTTGTATCCCCGGAGATGGAAAATCATTCCACTCCGTATAATTCAAATACTTTTTACGCTGAAAGCCGAGAAACTTCAACACCCTCTCCGTTGATTGGAAGAAAAAGGTTAGACCTAAATAATTATTGTTAAAGCCCCAAGAAATATTATAATTTTCTTTTATTCAATATACCGTATTCGTACTAATATTTTATCCAACATTTTATTTGTAGTGGCTCAACTGATGATGAATCTGAAGTTAATGTTAATGACATAGGTTCAAAAAAGAAAGCTGGCAGGAAAGCCTTGTGGACCGAGAACGTTCTAAATGATTTTATCGATATTGTTGCTAACAGTGATTACTACAAGAAAAAATTAATTTTCACGAATACAAAAAACCAAAAGAATGGTAATATATACGAAAATATTTTTACAGAGCTTAAAGCAAGGTTCCATGAAAGAAAAGAAAACATAGACTTTACTGTGTCTCAAATACGTAATAAATTTAAGAAATGCATTGGAGAATGCAAACATGCTGCAATGACCATCAAAACTGCTAGTTGCGTAAAACGTTTCCAAGAAGGCAAAGGCTATGGTGTATGGTTCAAGCAGTTGTTTCAGCTTGGTCAATCCAGAGACTCTTACAGACCTGAGATGGCAATAGAAACTTCATTTTCAAGTGATATCAGCAGCTCTAGCTCCAGTGGTAATCCTTCTCTGATTGACCTGGAAGAACAGGAAGAAATTAGACAATTGGAAGAAGGCAAAGATAGTGTGAAAAAATCATTTATTCCCATGAAGAGAAGAAGATTGTCAACAAAAGACAATGTTGGTGAAGCTATAGCTCATTTAAAGACTATGGTGGACAATGATCCATCCAAGGAGCTGCTACGTTTCATGCAAGATGAAGCTGAAATAGCAAGAAAGCATGAAATTGAAATGACTAAGCTTTTTCTTAATTGTCTCACTTCATCAAATGATGCACATCATTCATGGTCACCACATCAATATAACTCACCATTTCCATCACAACTCAATATTCAACCAATGCCAAACTTTCAACCAATACCAAATTTTCAACAAGAACCAAATATCCACTCATCAGCTAATCTTCAGCAGTATCAATTACCAACACAAAGTCATTCAACAGTCACTCCAAACTTTAGCAATAGTCATTCAGACTATGATCTCAAACAATACCAATCTTTATAGAAATTATGTATGTGAATAAAAATAACATATTATGGCATTTATTATGCCCTGAAGCACTTGCAATGTTTAATTAGTTCTTATAATTCAGTTTTGTTGTTAAAAAGACATTTCAAATAATAAAGATATTTTTACTAATTGCTACATAAACTTTATGTTGTTATATTATCAAAATGTTCAAATCAAATGTTATTTGTGCAAAATAAAGCATAATATAATCACAGTAGTTAAGATTGAGAATTAGAAAGTACCAAAAAATTAATTTTTTATGAATGTGTTGTTCAATATATGAAAATGAACTTTTTTTTCAAAAGTCAAAAAAATTAAGCCACTTCTCCAGTCTCTTTCTCCAACCAAAGTTTTTCCACCAAAGCATTTCTTATATCAGCTGCTTCTTTGGAAGTATCCCTGACTTTAGGACATGCTCTCATTTGTAGCAATTCTCTTACTGAATCTCTATCTCGCATTTCACTTTTGCCAGGGTCTTGTGAAAGATCCAATTTTTTTGAGATAGTATCTTTCTTCATTAAGCAAATGTTATAGAGGACCAGGCAAGCCAGGACAGTCATTCTGACACTTTTTCTATTACTTTCACATTTTATGTACAGCACACATCACCTACCTTTAAGCTGTCCAAAAGCATCCTCTGTCATCATTCGTGCATGGCTTAGTCTGTAATTAAAATACCTTTTCCTTTCAGAAAGGACAGCATCTGTATAAGGCTTCATAAGCCATTTGGTAAATGGAAAAGCAGAGACAGCAACTATAAGTGGCTGGACAGTTTGCTGACCAATTACTTTCCCAATTGCTGGCAAATAGTTTCCTTCCTGAAGACTAGCCCACAGCTGTGTGGATTGAAAAATAATAGAGTCGTGTGAGTTACCTGGGTAGCCACAGCTTCCCCAAATAAATCTATAGTGGGAGTCAACCAATGCCATAAGAACAATAAAGTAAAAGTTTTTAAAGTTTTGATACTCTTTGTTTGCTTCCTGACCACCTGGTGGGCACTTTATAGAAATGTGGCAACCATCAAGGGCTGCCCAACAACAAGGGAACTGCCAAAAGTGTTCCATATCAATCATTGAATCTTTGAAATCTTGCTTAGACTGTGGCATTAACTGTTTGACATATTCGTCCCAGAGATGTTCAACGATGGCTTTGCAAACTTCATCAGTAATAGAACATACGGTGGAAATACAAAGCCCAGTCAATTCTGCAATTGTATAATAATATGTTCCTCTTCCAAGGCGATACAAGCAAACAGCTAGTCGAACCTCTGGAGGAATGGGCTCTTCAACTATGTTTTTCTTTTCGAGTACGTGTCTTAGGCGAGCAAGAATAAACAGAAACGTTTCCCGAGATATTCTAAATGTTTTCTTGAATCTTACTGCAGAATAGTTAACCCAAACAAGATCCCACCATCCTTTATTTCTAGCAAGTCTCCGACATGATCGAGGCGTTATTGATGTTGAACGCGGGTTTTGCGAGAATAAACACAGAATCAGGGTGATCGCAGCTCTGATTGCTATGATTCTTCTCTTAATCAATAATTGAATAAAAGAATCAAGCATTCTCCTTCAATTTTTGGCACGCTCTAGCATATGTCGCATAAAAATGATCTGTCTTTTGCAATTGTTGTTTTCTCCATATTGAAAATTCCGCTATTTATTTGAATATGCGCGTTGTATAAACGCGACGTAAAGGAACGAAAGGTCATACGTAGGAATTAAGTTCGACTGAATTAAAATCGACGTTTAAATAAAATTCCTATTTTGCCGTGCTCTGCCGTGTGCTGTGATTTGGCACGGCACATGAGAAGTTCGACATTTGAACTAAGCCCACTTAGCCGAATTTAGCCGAACTAAGCCGAATTTAAATGCTTAAAATATATAACAAGATGACGGAAGTTAGCGTATTAATTAAGGTGTATAGTTACAACGGAAGAGTGAGAAATTACGAAACCGGCTTGTCGGGATGAAATTGTAGTTTTGTGTATTTTCTTCTTATTATCAATATTTATGCTTTGCTCTTACGCATCGAGCACTGTATATACACATTGTATATATATATATATATATATATATATATATTGAAAATAAAATAAACCACGAATTACTTCATAGGAATTTATTCCCTACAGAACTGTTTCGTATGGCAGTTGTTTAACTTGCCACACTCGTCAGGAGAATAAATATAGCGCTATAGCACAACGGAACTTATACACAAAGATGAATAATTAAGTGATATAGTATTACATTAATGACGTTATTAAGTGTTTATTACGATGGCGGCATGCGGAAATGAGTTCGTTTCGTTTATTAAGCGAGCTGAGTTCTGGGTGGAAGATGATGAAGAATTTCTCCGAGAGGCATAAATTACAGCGTTTGGTTTTGTTTGAGTAGGGTTGTGATTTCTTTACAATTTTCCAGTTGATGGTGTATGGTGTGTTAGAGTCTTTTAGTTTCCATATGTGTTTGCTGAGTTCTGTGGAGTGTTGAAGGGGTAGTCTACCAGCACACTGGTGACTGTGGCTTGGTAGACTACCCCTTGGTTTGGCATTCTCCTTTTAGTGGGCATACAGTCACCAGCACACTAACCAAACACAAAGAAACCTACATCGGTCTAACGGAGAACACTTTTAAAACACGCTACTTGAACCACACCAGCTCATTCCGAAATAAATCAAAACAACACTCCACAGAACTCAGCAAACACATATGGAAACTAAAAGACTCTAACACACCATACACCATCAACTGGGAAATTGTAAAGAAATCACAACCCTACTCAAACAAAACCAAACGCTGTAGTTTATGCCTCTCGGAGAAATTCTTCATCATCTTCCACCCAGAACTCAGCTCGCTTAATAAACGAAACGAACTCATTTCCGCATGCCGCTATCGTAATACACTTACTAACGTCATTAATGTAATACTATAACACTTAATTATTCATCTTTGTGTATAAGTTCCGTTGTGCTATAGCGCTATATTTATTCTCCTGACGAGTGTGGCAAGTTAAACAACTGCCATACGAAACAGTTCTGTTGGGAATAAATTCCTATGAAGTAATTCGTGGTTTATTTTATTTTCAATTATACCGCTCTGCCGTGGCATTGAGCACTCTATCCGTGCGATTTTGTTTGCGATAGCTTTTATCACAAAATCCTATTATATATATATGTATGTATAATTCAAAATAAAATAAACCACGAATTACTTCATCGAAATTTATTCGGGAATAAATTCTCCTGACGAGTGTGGCAAGTTAAACAACTGCCATATGAAACAGTTCTGTAGGTAATATATGTATACATACCGCCAGGTTAGCTCACAAACTCTCCTCACTACAACAGCTTTGATTCCTCTTTCAAAGTTAATTTTATCTAGATTGATTTATAGATGATGCTTTCTTCTTCTTTGACTTTATTTTGCAGAATAAAACCCTGGATATGAAAATATACTCCACTAAGCGAGGGATTGGGAAAACAAATAGTAAGTTTATTGCTTTATCACTTCCTTCACCAACTGTTCATATATATTTTTACGTTTCTGATACTGAACCTATTGTTAAATGTGTTTGAAAAACAATTCTGTATTTAATAAACATATTTAACTTAAAAATCCTATATACTAATCATATATATTTTAATGGAAGACGCAGCGAAAAAGTCCTTAACATTTGTCAGTTAGTTGAAATAAGACAATTCATCTAGGTTATTTTTAACGTGTTCAGTGGTACGCGAAAGTGTTAAGTAGCATTCTAAAAAGGCGCCCAACAGATAATAGCTAACTGTGAACAATCATTGAAGCCTTTTTTGCATATTTTTTAAACTTGGAGAGAAAATGAAGCTGTCAGCAATTTATTTTGATGTATTCTAATCAACAAACGTTTAATTTGAGTAGGCCATGGCGGTACTTGTATCGATGAAATGACAAAATTTTCCAGCAAAAAACATTTAGTTGAGGAAAATCAAGACATTACCCACATATTTTATTTCTATAAGTAATAAAATCAAAATTACGAAGAACTATGTGTACATACGTCTTCGCTATACGTATACATACTTGTTCTATTCTATAATGTTGGCGTCAAATCAAGCAATTCATGCAAAGTTTAAGCCGAATTTTTCTAGAGCTTTCGACTCGTCGGATTTGAAAAATTTACGTAAAACGACGTATAAATTGACAGTTACGTCGAACAAATCAACTGACGTTGTTATAAAGACGTGAAGTCGATATAAAAAACTAATACTCTCCAGTGATAACAAAATTACTTAGGCAACGTTTGCAATAAAACTAAACAACCCAAAAGGCGATTTGTTTGAATTTCAATGTTTTGGCAAAAGCACAAAAATATGCTGAGACAAAACCCTTGCAATTTCTCCTACGTAATAAAGTAAAAATTCAAACTGTAGCAAATGCATTAAAGCAGAAAATCAATGCATTCTTCGCAACAAACTTCCTTACCTCTATTTAGCACTCTGTAAATAAGAATTTCTTGCTAAACACCATCAACACTTTAAATGGAAGGATTGAAAATAATTAATACTTAGAATTATCGAATAGTGTTCGTTGTGTAACATATTGAGTAGCGTCTATCTGATAAATAGGAAAAGCTGCTTAATACGTCACATAAGTGTGAGCTATTGCATAACTTTTCTGCATAATACAAAATTAATTCATTTTAAAATTTGAATAAGGATTGTGAATTTTAATGAAATAAATTTGAAAGAAGCTATCAAGTTCAGTTGCTATTTTCTGAAAGTTGAATGCTTTTTCAATTTTTCATAATGCTGAAAAAGTGTGAGGGAACACTGTTTGTACAAACTACTTAAAGGACACATGCGACATAAAATTCAGATTGTTATTTTTGTACTTTGCATAAAGGTACATCTCGAACTAATAGTTCACCAAAGTTTGAGACTCAAAGGATAAATATTTTTGAAGATATGGAGGTTTAAAGTTGATGCTTTACTGATAACGTATTGAAAATGCCCCACGAGCTAACGACGGCTACCGATTGGGAAAAGGTCGTTGTGACGTATAGTTGACATTAGCTAAACGCGGTCAATCGCGCGCTTCGTTCAAAATATATTGGTAACTTCTTATCAACACGGCAATTTAGCATTGAAAATATGGTTTATTTAATTGTAAAAACGGTTCTTCTAAGAACCACCAAACGCAGCAGAAGGTTTCTTTTTTTTCGTTTCCCGAGGACAAGCGCATGCAAGATATTTAGATTGAAAAATTGGAAGCCAAGAAAGAGCTCAAAATTGTGCTCGCAACATTTCGAGAGTTCGTGCTCCATGCAAAATTTTGAAGTGATGCAATCAGTAGGATGGACAGCAGGACGGCTTCGCCTTAAGAAGGATGCTGTACCCACGATTTTTGAATACTCTGTGGAACCCACGAGTGTAGCATCTAAAAGGAAGCAGCCAACAAATGTTAGAACTGCATTTGAGAAGAGACGAAGGCAAAAGGTGAATATTATAGTTATAGTTAGCAATATTTGTTTACTACTATCAAAAAATAAGCTATATAGCAATACCAAATTGAATAGAATTTTATAATTTTAGATTATTGACGACGTTCTTGCAGAACATGACGACTTTCTTGTAGACAACGACCACGATGTGTCGACATCGTCTCGAAATGTTTGTGCGTTTTACCTCAAAGGAAGTTTGTCTAAGATAAAAGACGTCAAAATATATGTAGACAGCGAAACACAAACATATGCAGTGGTAACTAATTCAGACTAATGTCGTTTGATCTTTTCTGTGTTGTTTTAACTCATAGAAAATTCCTAATACTTAGAAGCACAATGTGAAATGCTAAGCAGACATAACAATCCGTCCGCAAAAACACGTAAGGTCAAGAACCACTCAAACAAAAGTGAAAAATATGATAAGTAGAGGTATAGACCTTCCATTTCGGCCGTTTGATTTTTGTGAAAAATCCAGCATTACGATAATTTTATGCTAAGGTACGGAGGTTGAGTTCATTTCCACAAAAAGTCACAGCACACAGACGACGTCATGTGAAATTGAACATTTTGAGGATAGCGCTGTATGGTCTGATACAGAAAGCACGTTGGCGATGAGCAATAGCTACAATGGATCAGGATCTCAATGTTCAAATGAGTTAAGCGAAAATGAAGAATCCGACAGTGACAATGCGACGTTAGTACGAACTATCCAGTCACCTGACTATTCTTTACATTGCTTTTTTCTGTTATATGTTTATCAGAACGTTACGTTTATCTCTCTCTGATTCTGATGGTAATTTTTATGTTATAGGGAAGATGCTCAAAATGTTTGCTAGTTGCCTGAGACAGTTAGTGAGTCAATGCCCATGTTGTGGTGAAAGCTGTTCCATTGTGACCAAAACGACTGGTAGTATGGTTAACGTACTAGCAAAATGTCATTGTGGTTATGTTCGAGACTGGAATAGCCAACCTCTGCATGGGCGAATGCCTTTGGGTAACTTGGTCTTTGCATACAGCATTTTGTTTAGTGCTAGTAGCCCCAGCAAAGTTCTTCAATTCCTTCGTCACTCAGGCATACGATTTCTGTCAGAGCGCACATATAGCTATATTCAAACAGCGTATTTGATACCCAGTGTTTCAAATGTTTGGCATATGCACCAAAAGCATCTTCTAGAATCAATCAGAGAAAGGAACATTAACCTTGGGGGAGATGGAAGATGGGATTCGCCTGGATATTGTGCCAAGTATGGGTCATATAGCTTCATGGATTTGGAATCAAACAACATTTTAGACACACAACTTGTTCAGGTAACAATTCTTCAACAACTGCACATAAAACATGGTTAGAATACTCACATAATTATGTTAAACAGTCCAAAGAAATGTTTAACTCTGGAGCAATGGAGCTTGAGGGATTAAAAAGATGTCTGGCAAAGTTTGATGAAAATGGGATGAAGGTGAAGTCGATGAATCGATACACTACTTTGATGTATGGTATGTAGCAAAAGGTATAGATTGTCATAACAAACCAACCTTTTACACATTTCATCAATAATCAAAATCCAACAGGAATCAAAAAGAAAATTTTGGCAGCACCAGAATGTGGTTGCAAATTATTGTCAGATTGGGCCCAATCAATTTCCAACCCTGTATACTGGTGTGCTGCTTCCAGCAATGGTGATGAAAAACTTGTCAAGGCAAAGTGGTTGTCAGTTCTCAACCATATATGTGACATCCATGAGGGACATAGTGATGTATTCCCAAAATGTAAACATGATATGATAGAGCCTAGAATGTGGATAAAAAAAGGTATTGTAAGCGAATAAATTTCAAAGTAACATCAACATTCATGAGAGATATTGGAAAACTCAGTTATTAGAAGCAGACTTCATCCATCGAAGGTTTCCACCGAGTGGTGATTCTTTTTGCACCAAAACATACCCATTTTTTCTACAGATCAATGGAAGCAAGGTAATATAATTATGACTTGTGTATGATTACTTAAAAAAGTCATCATTGCAAAAGCAATAAGTTGCAATAGTTGTAAACATAAACTTAACATTCATTTTGTTATTGCCGCTCTTCATTTCAATGAGAATGGAAATAAACCTCAGAAAACGAAGAATGGTGGGCAAACAGAAGAGGCATTGATTTGGAGAGTGGCTTATTCAAAGTCAAAGGAAGGACAAGGGGTCATCAAACTAGTGAAAGTTGACAGCACTTATGGTTAGCACAGAAAAATAAACTTACCTTTTCTCAAAGTGAAATGCAAAGCCAACATAAATAATGATTTGCTTTTCAGGATATGTTAAGGACCTTATGAAAGAAGTTTTGCACTGCTGACACATTAATCCAACACTGTCCAAAGCTCTTGATGTCGCTGGAGTGAATGAAATACCTATCCCATTGACTCGCCACAAATCAAAAATCAGCAAAGCTGAAGCAATTAAGCAACATAAATCTCGTTTTAATATATAAAATGCAACTAACCATTGAACATTTCCAATTCTGTGACTGTATTCATCTTCGCTTTTTGATGACGAAGAATTGTCATCATTATGACCACCTTGCGCGTTGGCCAAAGGCTTAAACATGTAAGGTTGTACCTCATTGTAATTGATGACAATATTATAATCGGCCTCTTCAGAAGAATCCATTAATTTTTGTTAAATAAAAAACAATAACTAGCAAACTACCTTAATAGCAAACTACCGAAAGTCGTGCAAGTCGTAGAACGATATAAGAACGATGCTTGTTTATGTCAACTAAACGTCACTCTTTCCTAGTTCCCAGACTTCAACAATCTCACGGCGTTTTAGAAACGGTCATCGAATATCGTGTTTTGACCGATTATAACTCTAAATATCTTTTGAAATATTTTGCAGACGACTTT